CTGCTAATGCCTTGGCCATGACTGTGAAAGTATGTGCCTAGCAAAAAGTTGAATTAGTTGCAAAAGAAAAGCAGAAAAAGCAACAGAGAGCTGTTTGGATGAGAAAAAAAAATTGAAAGGAAATATTTGTGAATGTATGTAGGTCCTGGCTGGTGTATGTGTGTGTGGGAGTGTGTGTGTGGGAGTGTGTGTGTGAACAGGCGCAGTCGCTGTGAAAATAGAAAGTAGCAAACAGCGCCCAAGGCGCTCCTCGACAGAGAGGGCACTACTTCGTTGAAAAGAGATGGAAAAAAAAGAAAAAAGAAAAAGAAAGAAAAGCGCGCGCCCTGTTTCCAGCTTGTTTGCCAACACTTAGAGAAAAGGGGCCTTGTGGCGGGTATGGTGGTGCGAAAAGCCACAAGAGATGAGCTTCAGGCAATAGAAGGAGGGTACGGTGCAAAGTAGGAGAAAAAAAAAAAGAAATAGAAATAGGGTCCTTAGAAACCAAGGATTCGAAGGCTATTTCCACCTGTGAGCGGCCTTTTCACGCTAGATGGCGCCGCAATTGCAATTGCAATTCTCGCGGCAGAATCGCGCCAGAAAGTTAATGTGATGCCTTAAGTGGAAAGCAATGTAAGTCAGGCTTGAATCTCTGACAGGTTCCCTGATTGAATATGGAGAGCACTAATTGATAACTGACCTCTGACCTTGGCCATGACATTGAGTATTTTGGATTTTGTCATTAAAGAACAAGCTTTCTTTTTTCTATTAACTCACTTAAGTACTTCTCATCTCCGTCTAGAAAATATTTCATTTAATTTAAGGGAATACCTTTTTCAATTTTGTTGCTCAACGCATTTTCTTGTTTATTTTCGTTTTTTTTTTTCAAATTATTTTCCAAGTCTCTCGGAAAACCATGTTTATAAATAGAGAAAACATTTTTGCTGCGCTTAATTCACTTTAGATGCCACTTTCTAGCCAACCATCCACCGACCCACTCACTCTTCACTCCATAAACCTTCTAGCCATATTTCTCCTTCGTGGCAAGTTTTCCTAGCCGCTATTTCTAGTTTTTACCTCGTCTCTGGTTTTACTTTTTCTTTTTTTTTCACTTTTCCCCTATTTTTTTTTTAATGCAATTTGAACAAATTAAAAAGTGGTGCGTGTGCTGTGCAGGTGGCTACTTCATCATCTCCTACCCAGCCAACAGTATTTGTTACGCTTCCTGGTCTCAGTGCTTTATGATAGCTTTAATTAAACGCAATTGAGTTGAGTTTAAAATTGCTCTGAAGTGTACAAAGTGTCATCTTTCAGGGGGTGTTGGCTGGTTGGTGTTGGGAAACTGTTGCAGAACAGCAATGGTGAAAAAGAGTTAATTAAAGTTAGTAGTTTCAGGTGCCAGAGGCGAAAACTAAATTAGAGCAATATTAGTTTAATTAACTACTTTTCAAGCGTTTTGTTAGATTTGTTTCTTTCCCAAACCTGATCCGATTCTCAAGCAGAATACCTTAAACGATTTCTAGATCGATTTGCTACCAATCTGCATCAAAATCGTGAGACAAAATATTTTTTCGATTTTTTGTCCATTTTTCCTGATGGGATCCCTTGAAAATGGGGTTTTCCCCTATAGGGCCCACGGCGATGGCTATATCTTCCCCAATTCTCATCCGATTCTCAAGCGGAGTACCTCAAACGATTTCTGGATCGATTTGCTACCATTCTGCATCAAAATCCCGAGACAAAATATTTTTTAGATTTTTTGTCCATTTTTCCTGATGGGATCCCTTGAAAATGGGGTTTTCCCCTTTAGGGCCCACATTGATGGCTATATCTTCCCCAATTCTCATCCGATTCTCAAGCGGAGTACCTCAAACGATTTCTGGATCGATTTGCTACCAATCTGCATAAAAATCCTGAGACAAAATATTTCTCAGATTTTTTGTCCATTTTTCCTGATGGGATCCCTTGAAAATGGAGTTTTCCCCCATAGAGCCCAGAGGGATGGCTATATCTTCCCCAATTTTCATCCGATTCTCAAGCGGAGTACCTCAAACGATTTCTAGATCGATTTGCTACCAATCTGCATCAAAATCGTGAGACAAAATATTTTTTCGATTTTTGTCCATTTTTTCTGATGGGATCCCTTGAAAATGGGGTTTTCCCCTATAGGGCCCACAGTGATGGCTATATCTTCCCCAATTCTCATCCGATTCTCAAGCGGAGTACCTCAAACGATTTCTGGATCGATTTGCTACAGATCTGCATCAAAATCGTGAGACAAAATATTTTTTAGATTTTTTGTCCATTTTTCCTGATGGGATCCCTTGAAAATGGGGTTTTCCCCTATAGGGCCCACAGTGATGGCTATATCTTCTCCAATTCTTAACCGATTCTCAAGCGGAGTACCTTAAACGATTTCTAGATCGATTTGTCACCATTCTGCATTAAAATACTGAGACAAAATATTTTTTAGATTTTTTGTCATAAATTATAATATATTCTCTAGATTTCTGCTACTTTCTACCATTATTTTTTACACACGGCTATGAAACAACTTAAAAACTGGCAACTTGTTGTGGTCCCTTGTTCCATTCTCTTAACTTTTTTTTTTTTTTTTTTTTTGCTCCTGTTAACTAAAGTCCTTCTAATCCTCTAACCCCCCACTATCCATCCCCTGGAACCACAATCTCTCCCATTTTTATTTTTTTTTTGCAGGGAACTATCTCATTGTTAAATCATTTCAATTATGGGAAAAGTAAAAAGTACCTAGTTAAGGTCAAGGGGGATCCTTTGGAGGGGTCTGGGCGGGAGTGGTGGGTGTGTGGGAGGTATTACTGTACAGTAAAGACCATCATCAGTTGGGTAAGCCGCTCAGACAACAACAACAACAGCAACAATAACAATGTCGTGCAAGGGTCCTTAAGGCTAGATGTTGTTTCTGTTGTAACTGTTGTGTTATCCTATACAATTTCTATACAATCTTCTCTATATTTTTTTTTTCTTACTTATTTCCCTAATAAGGGAATGTTAACAAGGACGAAAAAAAAACTGCTACTCGAGTTGCAAAACCAACAGAATCCACAAAAAAAAAAAAAAAAAAAAGTGCTAGAATAAAAAATAAAAATAAGATAAGAACCTCTGTGCATTGGAAATCCAAGTGGTTCGGCATTATGCTTTTTATCTTTGGGTGTGTGCATGTGTGTGTGCAATAATTGTGCATTGATTATCATAATATTCTCGGCAAAGCCATCAAAATTGCGCATAAAAATCACTCGCAGCGAAGATAGACAGTTTATAGCATTTCGTTTGCGGTTTGCCAGTCAGTCAGTCAGTTGAATAAAAAACATAAACGAAGGCTGTATCAATGCTATTTGTTATGGGGTGTTATGGTTTAAAAATATTAAATAAATATTATATATGAAATGACGAGGGAAGATGAACTTTGGGGTTGGGGGAGGAGTTTAAAGTGGTTAGCCTATGGGAGTTGGTTTGAAAATATTTTTTTAAAGATTATGAAACTAAATACTTGGGGGAACTAGGAACCTGGAACTAAAGCCTTCCCTTTTTTTTTTGTATGTCCTGCCCTGACATCCATTGACCATTGATCCATCATTTTGGGAGGCACGTGTCTGTCAGTTGCAGCCTCTTCTCCAATTTGTTTGTTTTTTTTTTTGCCTTCCTCTCAATGCCGGCCGCCCCTTCTGTCATTTAATGCCTGTCAGCAGAACTTCCGCTTCCGTTCTCATCACATTTCGCATCAACTTTTCTCTCTCAGACATCTCAGCGAAACAAATGCAAATATAGTACAGAATAATAAACAAAAATAAACAAAATCGAAAAACCCCCGAAAATAAATCCAAAAAATTAAACTAATTAAAATGAGGAAATAGTGCAAACAATAAATCCAAATAAAAACAAAATCTCAACCAAAAATGAAAAAATATTAAAAATAAATAGAAGAAACGACAGTGCCAAGATGATAGCCACGCTGTTCATCATCTTTGCATTCATAAGGGCCTTCCCCTGGAGCCGCAAACGAAATCGTCCTGCCCTGGCGTTGACCTTAATGCCCGAGAATGGTGACGAGGATCAGCAGCACGAAGTGCAGGATAACCAGAAAAGGGACAATAACAACCGGCCACGTCCCTCGATCACGCTGGGCAATGGCGACGGAATGCCGCTGTCGTCCAGGACACGTCGCAAGTCCTCCAAGTTCCACGAGGTGACGTTCAGTGGGTCGGTGGGTGGCGGCGACAGTGACGAGATTGTCGAGCCCTCGCCCGGAAAGCGCAACTCCATGAGCACGACGAGTAACTCCAGTTCGGCGCCGTACAGATATCTCAGCAATAGCAGCCGATCCCGAGGATCCCGGGGCGAGTGCCATGAGTACTATCAGCTGCAGCAGCAGCCCTCCTCGTCCCTGTCGAATGGGGGCGGCAGTCGGAGCCGGGGTCTTAGCCAGAGAAGCGACACAATGGCCACCGAGGCCGAGGGCGAGGAGTTCGAGGTGGATCCCATGGACGAGGATGACGAGGACGTGACCTATGACCGCGAAACCGAAGAGTTCTACAGCAACATACAGGATGCCGCCGGCACGGGGTCGAGTGCCAGTCGCAGCAAGAGGTCATCCCTGTTCTCTCGCTCCGATAGCTCCGCCACCACGACCTCCTCCAGTGGTGGGGGCACTTTTACGGGGGGCGGCGGTAAACGTAGATCCGCTGCGTCCATCCTTTCCTCGTCCTTGTGCTCCGATGTGATGGTCAGCGACCGGAGGAGCTCCACGGCGACCGAGTACAGTGTGAGGTCGGCGACGACGGGGAATTCCCAGCGAAGGTCCAGCGGCAGGATCAGGAGATACGTCTCCAGGATGACCATTGCGGGTGCCAGGAGACGCACCACGGGCAGGTAATACTACTCAGGATAGAGCTGAGGTTTCTTTTTAAGGAAATCTATTTTATTTTTTAATTTTTTTTAGAAATACAATCCATTTATTATTAAATTTCTAGTAAAATATTAGTAAATTGCAATAGAACAACTACCACTATGAGCCATTTTCCTGCTGCCACTGCTCGTGCTTGGCCAGAAGCTTCTGGCCCAGAGGACGCACCTGCTTAAAGGCCTTCTCCACGTTGGCTTCGACCAGCGCCTGAGGCTCCTTGGCCGACTGGGTGGTGAGCTTCGTGGCGCATCGCACCCGATGCATGCTGATCTCCTTGCAGGCCAACCGGATCTCATCGCCCGTAAACTGATCCGATATCTTGACCAGACTCTCCAGGAGTTTGGGATTCAGGGAGATACTAGTGCCCAGTAGGCGACTGATCAGGCAACTCCTCTCGGCCGGGTTGGGCAACTGGATGAGTAGTTTCTTCTCGAAACGCCGCAGGAAGGCCTCGTCTATGTCCCACGGCAGATTGGTGCTGGCCAGGACGAAGACGCCCTTCAAAGTGTGCTCCATGCCGTCCAACAGTTGGAGTAACTCATTCTTGAACCTCTTGGAGCTCTCATGATCCGTGGCTCTATCTCGTCTGGAGGTCAGACTCTCGATTTCATCAAAAAATATGACCGAGGGAGCTCTCTTAGCGGCCATGTGAAATAGGACACGCAGGATCTTCTCCGACTCACCCCTCCACTTGCTAACCATAATGCTGGCGGTGATGTTGAAGAACGTCACCTGACCCTGGGTCTCCGAGTAGAGGGCCTTGGCCAACAACGTCTTGCCACTACCAGGCGGGCCGTGGAGCAACAGTGACCTCCACGGCTTCAATCCATGGGCGAATAATTGGGGATACTCTATGGGAGTTATGACGGCTTCTTTGATTAATTCAATGGCCCGCTGATTGCCACAAACATCCGACCACTTGAGCTTGATATCCTCACGCAGAATGGAGGTCTTGACCAGTTCCGCCAGCGACTGCCAGTCCAAGGAGGAGAACAGAGCATCATCGCCGCCCAAGTGCCCGTGCTCGATCTCCCCCACCATTCGATTGAGGTTTGCGGTTTCCATCCCACTCTCGTTGGGTGTTTCCATTTTCTTGATCTGCAAGGAGGCTTCCGGATCATTATTCAGTTTCACAGCCGCCGTGGCAGCTCCCACACTAATATGCCAATTGGCCACCGAGCTCTCCGGTTGCGATGACTTGGTTGCTGGCTTTGGTTCCTGGATTGGGGCCTGCTTTCCCGACTGCTGTGCCTGTGATGGTGCTTGTGGCTTTCCGGTCATTTCCACTTTGATTTTGGGACTCACTTTCTTGAGTATTTTTGGATATTTTCCAAATTTCATGTTGAAGAAGCTGGCATATTCCAGATACATGCCATCCAGATCAATGTTATCGCATAGTTCGAACTCCTCGGTGAGCCGTCCCTCGTTCTTCAGGGCCTCGGCACTCGAGTAGAAGCCATTCTCCACCAGATAGCGATGCATCAGATAGAGGATGTTCCTCCGGCGTGTGCTGAAGTTCCTCACATCCTCGCAGAGAACTTGGGCAGCAGCTGAGGCTGTAACTCCGTATTTGCCTTGGGTCTTAATTTTGAGGCCGTTCCAGGTGCTTTTCTTTGGAAATTTTCCTTTTTTTTCCTGACTTTTCTGAGAAGCAGACTTGTTAACCTTTGAATAGAAAATTCGTAACTACATGTATAGATTCTTGTGTTGTGATGTAGAAAAGTTTGTTGTTTTTTCAGCTCTGGCATTTGTTATATTTCTCTTAGGTAGGGTTGTCATAACGCACTCCATAGAGTTGCCAGGCAACCTAAACAGGAATGTACTATAAAGTTTCTAGGTAACCAGTGGAATGGAAAAAGTGTGTGGTTCTAACGAGGAACTAGAAAGGTTGAGAGAACTTTGACTTTATATTTATATATTATTTTTAAATTTTAAAACTATTTAGTTACTTGTTATTACTTAGTTTTTATATTATATTCATTATTATTATTATTATAAGCTTCGGATTATAGGAGATAAGCTTCGGTTGGGGAGTTTTTCAGGAAGTTCTAGCCAGTACTTTTATAATACCTCTATAATACCTCTTAAAATTAGAACAATCTTAATTATAAGATTCTTATTATAATAAAATAAGTAAATAATTAATATACGATTTTTTTTGATAACCATATGATACCCGGTACTCTTTCTTATCTCTACAAGTATTGTTTGTAGATAGTTTATATAAAATAAAACTCTTTAAAAACTACATTTATTATTTAAGCTCTCACAAAAAAGTATTATATTAAATATTTAAATTAATATTTTCCCAAAATCCACCCTGATTTCTTTAAGTCTTACCAAAATGTTGGCCAACTAACCTAAACCTAAACCTAAACCTAAACCTAAACCAATTTGCTATTCCACGCCAATTTGCTTTATCTCTGACGGCCAAACAATTGAGCCCCTCAATTGGTTAGTGCGCCTAATTGTTCGTTGTGCATTTCTCCTCCACCCCATTCACCACCACCCAGTAACACACACCCAGTGTTGACCCCTGACCTCCCATTACCGCCCCCCCACCAACCCGGTTAAAATTGTTGCCAAGAGCTCACAACATGCTCAATTTGGCCAGAGATGACGGCGACAGCTGCTGCAGCCTGCGATGGTTAATCAAATGCACGACTACGACTACGACTACGATGACGGCGATGCAATGAAATGAAAATCAGCGGATCCTGGCCGCACACACACTCACACAGAGATATATGTATATTGCATATATAGGTGCCACGCCCACTCCCACTCAGGTGAAATTATGCAACATGCTTGTGCAGATTCAACGCCCCTGCCCTGTCCTGTCCTGCCTGACTGTCCCTGCCTGCCTCTCTCAGTTTTCGCATTTTCCCATTTTGTCAGCCATCCATCCATTTCACCTTGCCTTAAAAAACATTAACACAAGCAAGGCTAACAGAACTGGGTGGCTGGGTGGTAGTTGTGCACTGAGAAAAATAAGGGGATATTATAAGAAAAATTAGGCTTATTGGAGAAATATTTGAGATTTATATTCTTGAATCTTAAGGGTGTGTTTCAGTAACTATAGAATAAATATTACTACTTTTAAAGTAGAGGCTTACAATCTTTGTTGAAATTTTATATAGGTTTTTAAAAAAAAGATTTAATTAATAAAATAAATAAATTATTGATTTTAAAATCTTTCGTAATTAATTGATATTTTTTTTAAAACAAAAATCTTTTCAGTTATAAGGCTATATACTAATATATATACTAATATATACTAATCAAAATATCTAGAAATATTACATAAAATACGAATAAAACGAAATGGATTTTTTTTTTTAATATTTTTAAATAGGTATCTTTACATCTCTAATGCATACAAATTGCATCTATGATACATACTTCTGCAATATAAATAAATATTATAAATATATATAGATAAATACTAGATAGCTCTTTAACTTTAATAATACCTCTACAATCTTATACTACAAAATACCTTTCATATACAATACATACCTATACTCATCATATAATACCTTCTATAAGAACAAAATGTATAAATACATATTCTAAAATTCAAAAATAGTAATAATCCTAATCCATATCCTAGACAATATTTGAAACATAGTTTCTTAATATATAGTTTCTATATTTAGGATCTTTTCATATAACCCACTTAGCTTTCAGGATAGGATATCAATAGAATACCCCTATTTTTTAATAGTGTCGTTGTTTTTTTTTGTGAAATGTGCCCATTTCATTTCGTTTCGCAATTTTAATTTAGTTTTTTTTCTTCCATTTTTTTTTTTATTTTTTTTTATTTTTTGTAACCCCACTACTGGCCCCACATCTTTCATCATCATCCAAGCTCCATGGCAGTCAGTCTCAGGCTTTTGTTAATGGCCTTGTGACAGTTTTTTACCTCCCCCTCCCTCCTCTCAACCATTCACACCCCCACCCGACCTACCGGCCCACCTCTTCTTCTTCATCTTTGCACACACACACACTCAGAGTTGCAATCGGTTGTTCTGTCTCTTTCGGTAGAATTTTCCTTTTGGTTTTCTGAGCTTCTGCTTTGGATTTTTGGTTATTTTCGGTATTTTTTTTTTTTCAAATTCTTTTTGGTTTTTGGGGTTTCCATTTGGCTCACTCAAGGTTTTTCTCGGCTAACGGTATTCAAGTCTGTTTGTGTCTGTGAAAAGGAGAGGGGTGAGAAGGCCACTTACCACTTGGCCTCGAGAGCGAGAGAGATAACCTGTGACTGGTATTCAAATACGTGACGAATTCCTCTTAAGAATCTTAAGGGTTTTCTTGTATTTTTTCAGAATAGGAATACCAAATATAGGTGACTGAATGAGAGGGAGTGATTAATGAATCGAGTAAATGAATGCACATTTTTTTCTTCAAAAAGTACTAGAGAATTATATTAAATTTTAGGTCTTAAGAGAATAGATTGTCTTTAAAAACCAATTCCCTTAAAATCCCTAAAAATGTCGAACTTTCTCAAATTTATTTTTCCCCCAAAAGAACCATGTTTTTCAATTTTGTTTTTCTTTAGTTTTTCCTTTTCATCAGCTTTTCACAGCTATTTCCCACACACGCACACACTCATCCTCACACAGACGCTCATTAAGTGTATATATATGTGTATGTGTGTAGTCCTGCGGGTGTGAGTGAGTTGCGAGTTTAACAAACTAATTAAGTTGGTGCTGGGCGTTGAGCTTAGCTGAAAAGTCTTTCTGCGAAAAAAAAAGAAAAAAGGGCCAACCTTTTGTCTCGTACAAACAGAAATGACAATACACCAAAACAGACTCTGAAAGAAAATTTAGAGAATTTTGAGAAATATAGGAAAAATATATAATAAAATATAACATGATAATTAATATTTTAGTTTTTAATTTGATTAATTTATAATATTTCTTGAGGTTTTTAAATTATTTTTAAAAATATGCTGAAAAGTAGGCTATGAAAATTTTTTATTCGAATTTTAGTTTTTATTAAGCCTCTAGAATCTAGACAGAATCTAGAATATTGCAAGAAAAAAATCTAGAAAAATAAAATTTTCAAAAAAAGTTTTAATTTTAGTTAATAACTAACTCTTGCTTACTTTCTTGTAAAAATATTTTCTCTTGTTAAATCTTAGCCACAAATTTTTTTCAGTGCTCCCCTCACTCACACGCTGACTCATGCAAGCACACAACGAACACACTTACACACACACACACACAATCAGCATGCGTCGTTCATTTATTTGCACATATAATTAGGCGCATGAAGAGCTGCCGTCGGGCATGCTTCCGTTCTGCCCCTCCTCCACCTTCCACCTCTGCCTGCCTTCGGCCCTCTTCCTGTCTAATTCCTTCTTCTTCTGTTGCTGCTTTCCTTCGCCTTTAAGCCACCGCACACCTTCCCTACCCCAACCTCCAACAACAACAATGCCAGTCTTCCGGTTTGAGCTTCGGCTCGAGTGCGACTGCCACTGCGACTGTATGTGGCTTAAAGCACGTCACGGCTTAAATGAAGGAGAAGCCACTCATCCCTAACGGCCCAGCCCTCGCAGTTAGTCAGGATATCCCTCTCTACGTCTGTGTGTGTGTGTGAGGGTTTGTGAAAGTATGTGTGTGTGGTGTGCCGCCTGCAAGTATGCAACAAGAAATCAAGAAAAGTAGACTAGGTTTGAATAAAAAACAATTAAATAAAAAAATCATAGCGTATAGAGGGGTTAGTATTAATATTTTTAAAATATTCTTAGTAAAATAAGATGAACAACTAAATATTTAAAATTCTCTCAGAGGATAAAAATATATTTAAAATCCTTTACAGAAGGCACTCTACTCTAAAATGCAAATAATAATTATATAAAATATTTTCCCAAGAATTTGAATTTAATTTGAATTAGAACTAGAATTAGGAAGATTTAGAACTAGAATTAGAAAATTAGAAACAAAAATGAGAAATATAGAAAAGTATAACATAGCCCAGAAAATAAAAAATATAAACTAGAATAAACCTAAAAAGGTATTAAAGAAATAAACTGACTTGCAAAGATATATGTATGGTTCTCTAAATTTTCTTTTTATTTTTTTTTAAGTCTTCAAGCAAGTCTTGTGTTTGGGTTTGTTAACTCAAAGTTGAGTGGCATTTGCCACGCCCCCCATGGCGTCCTAAGTTGCCACCGTTGGGTGTCTGTTTAAAATTCAATTGAATCTCGTGTTTCTTTAAGTGCCACTTGCTTGGTTACTTTTTGTTATTTTTGTTTTTATATATAATATTTTTTTTTTTGTAAAAAATTGCAACTTTGCGAATTTCATGGCACTGGACATGGAGCAGTATCCATCTCTTTCACTGGGCACTTTATCCATCTCTTTCGCCACAGAGAATTATTGTCTTACTCGCTTATCTTTTGTTTTTATTTCTTTTTCTCTCTTTTTTTTTTAAAGCTTTTTCTGCTTTGTTTTATTTTTTATAATTTTTTTTTTTTTCAGTTTTGTTTGGGTTTTTTGTTGTTGTATTTTTTTGTCCACTGCTTTTGACAGGACGCTTTATGAGTTTGAGTGCTGTTTTTTGTACTCATTGTTGTAGTTGTTGTTATTGTTTTTGTTGTTGTGTATTTTGTGAGTGTTAAGACAGGTCCTTGGAATGTCAGGATAAGAAGGCGCCAAGTATTCGTTGACTTTGAAGGAAATGAATGCTGCATTCATTGCAAAAAGTCCTCTTAAAAAGTAACAATAAATAATAATTCGAGTTGAAGGAATACATTGTTAAGGATTTTAAGTCTTTTGTTTTTATAGTTTTGAGGTTGAGAGAGGGGTTTTAAAGTAAGTAATTAAATATATTTCATAGATAATAGCTCTTAATAATTTTTAGAAACTAGTATTATAGTACTTTTTAGGTCTTAAAATATTTTTACGAATTTAGTATTTTAGAATAAGAATAATAGTATCTTAAAGTATTTCGAAATCTTCAAAAATATATACCATCAAAACAAAGTTCTATTTTCTAAAAACAATAAAATAGAGTGTCCATAGCACTATAACCAAATACAAACAAAAAGGCAAATGGATAGTGGAAACAGGCCAAAAAAAAATATATAGCAACAAGAAAAAAAAGACTGGAAACTGAAACTAAAAACTGTTTGGCTGCTGTTGCCATAACTTTTGCTGAAAAGCGCCACAAAGTAAGACGGGAGAAAACTGGCGACATTGTTGCTCATACCCAGCCACCCCCTCATGGCCGCCCACTATTGCCAACCACCCTACTACCCACAGCCCAGACCTCCCCAAAAAAACACCAAAAAGAAACAGAAACAGTAGCAACAAGCGGCAACAACTTTGTGCCAAGTTTACTTAATGACCCCGATATAAATTTTACTTAAAACATCATTTTTCTTTACGACTTTTCTTCAACGGCAGCGGCACAACCACCCGTTGTTTCTTCGAGGGGGTGAGGGGAGAGGTGCCAGGGGTAGGTCCTGGGGGGTGGTGTCCAGGATACAGGACCAGCTGTGGGTCTTAAGAAAGTTGTGCGTCTAACGAATTTTGTACTTCTTCGATTGCGAAACCGAGTTCGAACTAGAATGTCAATGAACTTTTACGATTTTTATTTTAAATAAATGTTTATATTTTTATAAAAAAAACTTAAATCATTTCTAAGCCAAAACTATCTACCAATTAAACTTGCAACTCTAGAAAACCACTTTAACAAAAATAATCTTCAAAAAAAAAATAAAAGAAAACGAAAGAAAGCAACGCCATCTAGCGGCAAATTGGAGCACCCAATGTCAGTCATGATGTCCTGGCAGTTTTATGAAAGTTTCTTTTTCCACTAACTCACTTTTTTAGTATTAAAAAAAAAAAGTAAAAACTTCAGGGTCCATGGTCTACAATTGACTAAACTTTCCTTTTACATTTTTCGAGCAGAGTGGAGTGACTTTTGCTTTTCTTATATTTTTTTTTTTTTTTTTTTTTTTTTTTTAAAGACTTGTTACTGGAATTCCTTCTTTTTTTTTTTTTTTTTTTTTTTTGGGCAGCCAGAGAAACTTTTTGCCGCAGACAAGTGAGCAGAAAAAAAAAGGCAAACGCAAAAGATGTCTAACGAAATGAAACTTTAAAAAGCGCCTTGTTAGGCGCGCTTCCGTTTCCGGTGGCATTTCTGTCATATTTTCGTTCTTTTTTTCAGAGGGTGGTACTTATTATTTTTTTTTTTGGAAGAGCTCAGGAGAACAAAACTTTGACAGCTAATCTGGTAAATATTTTAATCCCAAAAGGCTGTCAGTTTAAGCTTTTGGGTATAATTCTCGTATTTTTTGTTTGTGTCATAATTTAATGTAATTATTACATTTTGGGCAAAGCAATGGTTTTGGTTAAAGTTTTGAAGGGATTTTAGGAGTTAAGGTTTTTGGGGGAAGTTCTAAGAAATAGTTGGCACTGCGGAATAGAAATTTTTAAAGATAAAGTTCACAGAAAAAAGAGTACAGAATTTGTTTGAAATTCTTAAAAAAAAAAAATGTATTAAAGGCTTAAAGAATATTTTCACATATAACAGATATTTGGGTTCTATTTTTCAGGTTACTAAAAATATTTAAAATACTATTTTGTAATAATACATAAAATAAAAAAAAATATTTTTCTCACCAAAAACTTCTTAAATATATAATTTACATATCTCAATGCTTATTTTAATTATTTATTTTATTTTTATTCCAGTTTCGATGTAGAAAATGGCCAAGGCGCTCGATCACCGCTCGAGGGCGGCTCACCCAGCGCCGGTCTGGTTCTCCAGAATTTGCCGCAGCGTCGCGAATCATTTCTATATCGATCCGATTCCGATTTCGAGATGTCGCCCAAGTCCATGTCCCGAAACTCAAGCATCGCTAGTGAAAGGTAAGTGTTCTCAATTATTTCATTCTTTATTATATTATTTTATTATAATGAAACGAAAAGCAAATCAAGATAAAATACCAAGGGCTGTGCTGAAAAGGCTGTAATTTGATTTTATTTCTTTTCTCCCCCCTCTGGAATTTTCTCTCTACTAAGTGTGCCCAACTTCCCTATAATGGTTATGTTCTGGCCATTTTCAACACCTTTTTCATGTTTCTTTATTCTTCTTCTTCTTAGTTTTTCATACTTTGTTGTGTAATTTCCCTTTATTTATTTTTTTCGGGAGAAGTATCCTTGATCCTTGAAAGGAAAACACAAATTCATGTTATTTTGTGATGTTTATTCTGCTCTTCAACTCTAATATTTTTCTAAGTGTCTTTCTCTTTCTCATTATCTATCTATCTCTTTCTGTCTGCTTCTCTTAATTCTTAATAAAAGATATTTTTTATTTTTTTTTTTAAATAATTTATTGTATTTTTTTAAAGTTTTTCCCTTTGGCCATATAAACCCTTTAACGTTGAAACTCAACACACATTGTTCAGATATTTGAACAATTTAAGAAGGCATATGGCAGAAGGATCAAGTGAGGAAAATGCTGGAAAATGCAGGAGAGGGGTGGACCGTAGGAAAATGCAGGAAAAGCGGGTGACTTTCAAAGTGGAAATGGTTGCAAAATTCCTGAAGCACACATGCGAGAAGTGCAACAACTTTTTCTCTGGCATCTCTGGCTTCTTCTCCTCCTTAGATTTTCTCTGGGTTTTCCCAACCTTCCCTCAAAGCCGCCCCCTCACTGCCTCACTTTTCCTCTGATTTTCCACCCTCCCCTCCCTTTGTCTGTCTCTTTGTCACTCTTTGGAATTGCTGTGACTTTGCTAAAGGCTTACTGTGGTTTCATTCCCACCAGCTCCTGCCACTTTCTCTTCATCGTCAGCCACGCCTCCTTTCACTTTGCTACTCACCCACTTGCCACTGCCCCTCGGGCCAATCCCCCCCTATTGACAAAATATGCAAAATCCTGGCTGCACCATGAGAAAAATAATTGTTTTTCAATTAATAGTTTGAAGTAGCGCTTCAAGTCATTAGAACAACAGAATCCCGCACAGCTCAAGCTAATTAGTTTTAAATGCTGATACGCTTATACTTTTTAGACGGGAAAAGTTTAGAGAGAAGGATTTCATTTTCTTGTTTTATTGAATAATTAAATTTTATAAAAAATAGTGACTATTTTGATTCGAAACTAAGTTATTTCTTTGGGGTTATTGATGTATTATGAAGTATATTTCAAATTGAAGCGGATATTTGTATTAATGAATTTTGAATTAAATTTTTAAATTTAGTTTCTATATTTTTATTTAATTTCTTTGCTTAATTTATCACATTTTTTTTGTCTCTCTTTATCGTCCTTCCTAGCCCGTAGGCTCAACTTCAATTAGTCAGTCCCGGATGGCAGTAACCCCCTTTGGAAAAACAAACACAAAGACCCCCCTTGAAAAATCCGCTCATTACACATGCATGGCCAAAAACGCGTTATGTAACACTGAGGCCGGAAATGCAATTTTTTTTTTTTCTTGCCCCTGTGCGCCATTTTGTTTTTGTTTCGTGGGGCATGTTGCTGTTGGTGTGTGTGTGTTGGTATTATTTTTTTTTGGCAAGTCTCTCTGTGTTTTTGAGTGCAGCGCCCTGCCTTTCTAATTTTTTTTTCCTTTTTTTATGCGTTTTTGGCAGCGTCAATGGGGCCAACACATACACAACCATACACACACTGACTCAAATATTATGCACAAAAACAATAACACCTAATTACACATGCAACAGCAACAACAACAACCCAAAGAGAGGCTGTTCATGATCATCAAAATGCAAAAAAAACTGAAAATATAGATGAGTTTTTGGCGGATGATGAGAAAAGTGGGCGTTAAGTGGAAAATTCGACAAAAAAGGGGTGGGGCTGAGAGAGCGTTTGGCAAAATATTTACATTTTTACAGCGCCAAAAGTGACTGCCCCTCTCTCTCCTCCTATACACTCTCCTCTATTTTTGCCCTTTTTTTTTTTTGAAATATAGATCGCAAATTATAGATATATGTAAACGAGAGTACATCTTCAAAAGACCATAGACGATGAAATTTTTGCCATGATTAGTAAATAATGGAATATATGTATAGGTATTTGGTGAAAAATGCATTTTAAGAGCTGAGGAAATGAAAACACCTAAGCTTTATTGTTTATTAAAGACCACGAAGATTTTGGAGGGAAAACTCAATCATAGGATTTGTGATTTATGGATTTGATGGGGAATATAATGGAAAAGATTATTTAGAAGAGGGGGTTCCATCGAAATACAAGTTTTGGGGTGATTTTTAACTAGTTTGAGTGAGAGATTACTCCCTTAGTATGATATTTTAAATAAAGTTTGTGTTAATTTTTTTAAAAAGTCCTTTTTTTTGGAGGGAGGAGTCCAAAACAAAAACTCTTTTAACTGAAAGCTTATTTTTTATTAATTTTTTTTTTTTTTTTATAATATTTTAATTTACTTATTTTGTTGTTGTTGAAAGCCGGCTCCCGTTACGGTCAAATTCAAATGTTTTTGGCAGGCGACAGCATCGCAATTTGCATTTGTCCGTCGCCATCGCCATCGCCATCGTTGGAAGCCAAAAACTTTTGTCTGCCTTCAAAGTTTTTGGGCCTGCCAAACTGTCCACCTCACCTCCTGCCCTCTAGCGGAGGGTGGGTGGCTTTCCACCAATAACCCCTATAGCAAAGCTATAGCCCCTTTCCATAAAATAGAAGAAATCTCTACCTTTCAGCGCACGCTGCGTTTGCTTTCAATCAACTTGGAATATTTCTTGGGGCCTGCCACTTTCAAACAATGTTCTTGATGAGCTGTCAATTACAAACACACACACACACACACATCTACTAAATACCCATAGTCTTGCTCTATTTAATACACTAAAAGAAAAATATAGGAGGGGTAGATGCCTGAGAAAAGCCATAACTTTGAGTGACGACCAAGTTTTTGTGGGTGAGCCGAAGAAATCATAAAGATTTCAACACTAATAACAAATAATTAGCCGACTGTCTGAGGCTGTCTCATAACGAGAGAGAACCACCCCCTCGCCACCCAAAGAATGTATACTGTGTAAATGTCAAGGTCGTCATTTGAGCAAAACAACTCACAATTAGTCATAATATTTTGTTCCCGGGATGTTCCTTCTCACATTTTTGGACAGCCTACCTCCCAATCTCCACACCCCCCAGGCACCCAATCCCTGAAAATAATCATAACAACAATAATAGATGCAGTTAAGTGGAATGTTTTTCTCAAAAAACAAAAAAAATATGGATATATATATTTGTATATAATGTGGGAATACTTTTAGTAGGTATAGGATTACGTATTCTTGGGAAAGGCCTACAAGGAAAATAGATTTCTGTCAACAAGAGGCCGCTATTTCGGGTAAAAGCTATTTTACAAGTATTCTAGTATTTAATTACTTACCAGGAAAATGTCACAATTTTTTTTATAATTTTCTTTGATCCTCAAGAGATACATTAACAGGTATTAGATATTATTTCTTTAATTTTACGAAGTTTCTTTAGAAATGATAGATATTTTTCTATTTTTTCTAATGGAACCCCTTGCAAAGAACAGGACCACGTATAGGGTTCTTAAGGATATCTATATTGTTGTCAATTTTGATCCGATTTTCATAGGGAATGCCTTAAAAAATTTGTTGATCCAATCCCCTGAAAATCTACTTCGAAAATGTAGAATGTAAAAATTTTCTATAGATATTTTTTATAATTTTAGTTTTTTGTTTTGAAAATAATCAGCTATCTGAGACTTTTGTACTCCAGACCGGGCATTAATTTAGCCGCAAACTGTGTCAGGTGCTGGCTCGATAAAGTTTTACTGCCCCACAGCCAGCCCCTCTGCCCTCTCATGCCATGCAAATGGCAATTCCTTTGGCCATTCATCCTGCCACCGAAGCCAGCCATCCAACCAAACAGTGTGGAAGTTGAAATTGTTGCTGCAACTTGTGTGTCGCCATTAATTCCAAAACTGAAGGCAAGCAATGGCAGCAGAATGGAAATTGGATTCCAAAGTCTCGCCATTGAAGGAATTGCACATTAAGTGGGGAAAGGCAAGGAAAGGAAGCAGGAGGTGGAATCCTTTTAATTGAGTTGCCAGGACTTCTTCTTCATCTGTTCTCGGTTTTTTGGGGGTTTGGGTTCCGTTTCGAGTTCGAGTTCGTTTTGGTTAAATTGCATCAGTTGTGTGTGTGTCCCCAAGCTGATTGCGGGTTAGTTTTTGAGCTTCTCGGGTTAACTGGCGGGTTAAGCGGGTCGAGCGGGTTATAGAGGAGGGTATGCTTGGCATGGGTTAAGTGGAGTCGAGTGGGATTGAGTGCGGCTGAGTGGGTTAAGTGAGGTGTTGGCCAAATTAAGTGAGGTTATCTCTGATACGGAAAGTGTTAGAAATATAGTGTTAAATAGCAGTTTAGTGGCTTTGGGTTTATTGAGTTATTGGGTTTAAGATTAGAAAATTTTAATACCTCTTACCTTTTAAAGCTTCTATTAAATTTAAGTTATATAATTAAATAGAAAAACCCAACTTGATTGACTTGACCATCTAGAATTACATAAAGCCCCCCCTTCTCCATTTCTGCATTTCTGCTTGGCTTCTCAATGACATTTCCACAGAGCCTTCTCTAAATGCAAGAGACAAATGGGCGGCGGCGTCGGCAATGTCTGCTGCCAAATGGGGGGCGTGCCTGGCGGGGAGGGTGGTGGTTGGCCATGTCCTTAAATGTCAACACTTCAACTTCGACTTTTTGTGGCAGTCGGCGTTAGCCTTTCTGTTTTCTGGTATTTTTTTTTTTGCGAGTTTCCAGAGCGCTCTGTTTTCTATTCTCGATTTGTTTGTTTCTTTGTCTGTCTGACTGTCTGTCTGTCGGTTGTGACGTACGCTATAGGAATGACGTCACGATTTGCCAGATTTGCACTGATCTATGTGGCGGGGTCATTGTCTGCGTCAGCGAAAGTCCCAGCCGGGGGTTGCCGACATCCCACCCAGCCACCATCTACAACCAGTCAGTCAACCACCCTCCCTCCCAAAAACCCCACTTTTCAACCCCTCCGATTTGGCACGTGACGCATCAATTAGGTTCTCAGGGAAATATACACTGGGAAAATTTATATTTAGAATTATTTTAGGGATTACAAAAAAGGGGGCTTATGGAATATTTTTTAAATTATTTTTATAGTTTATACTTTATTATAAATATTTTATACATCTTAAAAATAAAAATTAAGTATATGTAAAAAAAAAGCTATAGATCCTTATGGCCAAAAGTCCTTAGATTAAATACTCAAAAAAATATAATTAAAAAAAAAAAACTGAAATTAAATCTAAAGCTAACTTTTAATTGTTTTCCTTATGTTGTGTATTATTTTAGTTCCACTCTGGCCCTCTACCTTTCTACCTCTTATCTTGTATCCTCTTGTTATTTGTTAGCTACGCTACTCTTAACCCTCTACAACCTCTTTACATCTTCCCCCAATCTATATCCTCTATATATAACTTAGTGATCTTATGATTGTTGTCTGTATTATCGTTGTTTATTAAGATTGTAACCCTTTTTCCAGGTTTAAAGAACAGGAAGCCTCTATACTCGTTGACCGATCGTACGTATGCCGAGAGATCTGATTCTACCCAAGTCGCTATCTCTCTCTATCTATCTATCTAGCTATCTATCTATCTCTATCTATGATATCTAACTATCTCTATCGTTATGTCTTGTTTGCCTGTCTCTTGTATCTTGATTGTTGTTGTCGTTTTTGTCCCTGTCGCCCTGCATGTGGTGTTTATTAAAAAATTATTCTACAAAACTTTATCATTATTTTTTAAGTTTTGCATGATATTATATCTTTACTCTACAACAGGGGTTATAATATATTTTAATAATATAAAACGGGTAAGTTTCTTTTTTTCTGGGGTTTTTCTGAAAATATTTTAAATAATTTATAAACATGTCTGCTACTTCTGCTAGTTCACTGAACTCTGAACTTTTTCTTGAAAATAAAATAGAACTTGAATCATCATCATGGCAACATCTTATGCATCCATCCTCCTCACATGCTGGCCATATCTGTTGAGTCATTCCGATTTGTTTTTCGAGAGTCACGAGTTTGTCAGAACACGACCTGAGGAATTTCTCACATCGTATGACGAACAAGATTTAAGAATTATTGAATGCAGGCCAAGCTAATTTAAATTTTGAAAAACATTTCCTATTTCCTGTCGCCAAGTGCCAAGGCAAACACACCGCAAAAATCTCTGAACATAAACAAGAAAAAAAAAATAAATTAAACGAAATAATTGCTGACAGAAGTCAATCAAGGGGAACTCCCGCTGCTTCTGCTGCCCCCAAAAAAGTTGCCACATGCAGTGTGCCATCTTGCCATTGCCCGTCCGTACACCGGGGCGTATACGTAACGTACGTTATTCATACGCAGCGTGACACCCAAGAAGAAAATCTGGCACAAACACACACATCAAAATCAAAATAAAACCAAAAACCCCAAAACCATAAAATATATGGCTCAAGTAGTGGAATTCTACTCTGCACTTCTCCTCTGGTCTTTAACTGCGCTTCAACTAAATAATATACAATTTTTCCCGTGCATTAAATTTTCGCTCAGCGCCTCAATTGCCTAAAGTGTGAGTGCCTGAATATGATTCCCAAGTGCTATATATGTATGTATGTATGTATATATGCATCTACAAGTACATATATAGTATATACATATATAAGTGAGCATTCGTCGTGATTGCGGGCACATAATTTTAGCTTTAATATACACATGTGCATCTTCTATATAAGTACCTTACATATATATTTTTATACATATATGTATATGAAAATGCATTGCACATTGCAGATTTGTCATTCACACCCAGAAGCAGCAGCAGCAAGTAGAAAAAAAAATAAAATAAAATAGAAAAATCTCTTTTTATAGCACAAAAGTACGTGGCATGGAAATGGCAGACGAAAAAAAAAAAAATGAAAATTGAGGCTGAGGGAAAATGGAAAATGGCTGTGCCGAGCGAAAAGTGAAATGCAAATTAACTGCTTTAATATCGGGCTTGTCGAGGAAAGTGCAGTCTTCCATGCTGTGGCCAAGAGAATTGGTCTCGGAATATAAACTGCTATCTCAAGATATATATATCTCATAGATATATACTATTTAAATTCATTTGTAAATATATCGAAATATGTCTAAAAATGTCAAACATTTCTACCCCTAACTTTTGAAAAAAAAAACACATGTATGTTGAGAAAACACTTTGAATTATTTGACCACAACAAGCTTCTATCCTCCATCCACACCCCCAAAAAACGCTTCTCTCTTAGGGTTAAGCCATGCAAAAGCTCTTTTCAGCTTCAAGTCCGTTTATTAGACATTTTAATGGACATTTTAAATTGTTATAGTTGACTAGTTCTCAAGGCAGCTTATTCGAAATGTGGTCAGCAACTGTTTGATTGCATAAATCCCATAAATCTTCTCTCCTGGGCAGCTGCAGTCGCAGACTTAGTTGCCGGCCCAGTGTTTTCTGACTCAGATTCTGATTCGGATTGTTGTCCGAAATATTCCAAAAAATATTCCCAGACAAACGAACGACTTTATGGATTGTAATGACAACAATCACTTGAGTCAATGCGTTAAATGGTGCACTTTGTTGACCTAAAATCTCTGCTCGGTGAGAGGAGAAATCACAAACATAAACAGAATCATTAGGAATTTTTGGGTTCACGGTGCGTATGAGTAATGTGTAATGGGAGATATGCTTTAAGTAAAACTAAGAGGTTTAATAAAAAAAATGTATAAAATTATAAATATAATATTAAACAAATGTATGATAATGATTTAAAGAATTAAATGAATTAAAAAAACAAAAATTTCATCAGTGAATGTATGTCACACACTGCGTATGCTTAATATCTACCCAAGTGCCCTTCTGCAATTAAAAGCTTCAAGCCAAAAACTAGATTATTAATAGACTTTCCTCATAATAATAGCTCTTTCTCTACTCTCTCTCTCTATCCATATCTATCGATAGAAATGAATGAGAGCCAGAAACTCGCGCATTTTTCTTCCAACAAGCTAAAGATATTAAAATAATTGCCGTATTTAAAAATTGATGTGCTCGCTTCGTAGTTTTCTTATGTTTTTATTTTTTTCGTTGACGCTAATGAGCGTTAATCAAACGCCAACAGCTGCAGCAGCAGAAGCACCAACAACAACAACAACAAAATAATAATACTAACAAGAAGCAAAAGCAACAAAAACAATCATCGAAGTGCCAACTAAAATGCCAATTGAAGGCAAACAGAAAGAGAGGGCCACAGCCTTCGTGGAGGCGGGTGAAAGAGCAGGGGAGAGTTGGAGAATTTATTAAACATTAGCGTAGGTAAGTGAGGTGAATGCTGCGAGAAAGCAGTGACGGGGTCTAGAGGGAATCGAAATACGAAAAAAAGTGAGGGGGGCAGGCATTGCAAATGAAAATAAAATTAAAAAAAAAAAAAAAAAATAAAATAAAATAAAAATTGTGTCTTAACCAAAACGAACTTTCGACACGATTCGGAATAATCACAATTATAATGATCTATATAATAATGATGATGATATGCCAGGCAAGGACACCGTAGAGTAGGCCAACAGGGTGTTCTTGATATTACAATGCATTCAAAGAAATATATAGAAAAGAAATTTAGTCAAGAAAGTGAAATATTAATGCCTAAAAAATAATATAACCTAAAAGAAATAATATTTTACAATTTATTAAAATTGTCCCTTCTCCTCGTTTCTAATAGACAGTACCTTCTAAGAGCGCCCTTCTCCACGCTTCTCATAAACTTAAAGCTAATAAAATAAACAAAATAGTAAACCTTTTAAAACTTAATTTTATTATTTGAAAATTCTTAAAGTTAATATATAGTTTCCATCTTAAACGATTGAAAAAATTTCAGGTGAGCCTGTCTAGTTATAAAAACAAATTAGTTGAAACTTGATAGACAGTTATAGACCTATTTTATTCCAACTTATTGCGTTTTTCGAGCCGTAAACCAAACACTTTAGTTACTTGTTTAGTTTTCGCTACTAGTTTTTCACAATTCAAAGCTTTAACTTAATAGTTTTGAGAGGAATAGTAACCCTGTATTTGAATAATTGAGCAAATGTTGTTCATGTTTAGGTTGTTTTTGTTGCTGCTGCGGCGACGCCTGATGAAGATGAAAAGCAAGCAAAAATCTTACGCGCGCAAAAAAAAATGAAATAAAAATAAAAATAAAAAGAAATACTTACACACACACGCGTATAAAAGCAGCAATGAAAATGACATACACACGCGAGTAGAAATGAATTTTTTTTTTTTTAATTTTTTTTTCTTAAGTTGAATATAATTTGTTTCTTACGTTACGTTGGATATCTCTGCTCTTTTCTCATTTCTCGGTTCTCAGTTCTCAGTTCAGAGTTCTCAGCTCTGTCGCTACTATAATTTTTCTTATACTATTTTTTTTTCTGTTCATTTCGTTCATTTATTTGTATTTTTCGCTTTTGTGGATTTGTGTATTTGGCTTCTGTATTTTCGCCATCCACGCCGCGGGACGCGCTTCATTCTCGGTCAGCGTGCGGTCGCGGAAAATTCAAAAAATAAATTAAACAAAATATTAAATATAAATATAAAATATTTATACCAAAAATAAGAACATAACTTATTAAAGTACATAAAAATCATTTGTGATTATATTTTTCCAAAAAAAAAAAAAGAGAAAAGGAATACGAATTTTGTTTCTAAAGTGGGCCCTTGAGGGCCAAAATTGTTGAGAATACAACTCCTTTTTTTTCTATGTGCCTTAAGTTTTAAAAACTTAATTCTTGGGTGTTTAAGTTACAAAAAAAAAAAAATCCCTCAAAATGCTGAACAAAAACTCAGCAGGCTCGCAGTCGCTGCCGCGAGTCCATAGTTTCTTCAACATGATACCCTCGATTCTGCAGGACGATCTGGCTGTGACCATACTCGCCGATCGGGACAATATGTTCTCCATTAAGTCACAGCGCAGGTAGGATATAGATCAATTGATCTATATAATAAATATCTATATAGAATATTTTAGCAGATCAGGGCCATTTATGGCCAGCACTCAAAATAGTTCACTTGGCATTTATATCTATATATATTTCAATATATATATTTATAATAGGAATCGAAACATACATATATATATATATATATATATATATGTAGATATTTCTGCTTTTCTGCGCATATACATGTTTATGTTCCAATTTAATGAACCACAAAAAAATATGTATGTTTCTTCCTTCTGTCCTTCTCCTTTTGTCGTTAATAAAAATTTATGAATTATGATCTATGGATTTTGTCTAATTATCAAAATTAAATTTTAAATCAATCGATTTCAAAAGAAATGCTATTTATTTTCTGCTTGTGTGACACATCACCACAAATCGTATAAATCCCATTTCATTCGAATTAACCGCACAAGTGTTTTCGATTTATTAGAAATTTATTTTGAAATTTGTGAAGTGATTTGTGAAATTACGAGAATTGTGTGTGAAATGTGTCTATAAATAAATGGCCGATTCAGAAGACGAATATTAAGAAGAAAAATGTGATTTTTTTTTTATCACAAAAAATTTAATAGTTTTTCTTGATCGAAAATGATAGAGTTATAAAGTAAAGGTTAATTAACTTTGATTACTTAATAGAAACTAGTTTTTTCCTGTGGAAGCTCTTAATTTAATTAAAGTCTAGTCACACCTTCTCTTATATTATCTTATGTTTCTGTTTTTATCATTAAAATTATTATTTATTTTGTTGGTTTTTGGGTGAGTCATTGTGTTTTCAACTAAAAAGTCAACGTTTCTTTATTTTGTGGGCTCTAGGGGGCGTGAGTGAAAATGCGTCGCAATATTAATAACCCAAAAATAATTGGAGGACAAAAAAAGAAATGAACTTTCTAAGAATTGTCTGGCCCGGTAGTCTGTCATTTATTTTTACCAGCACCAGCCTTTTAACTCAAATTAAATGACAAATTAGTGGCAAGAAATAATTGAGCCTAGCTACCACACAAAAAATAAAAATAAGAGGAGGATACAAATTAATTAGTACAAAAGTAGAAAAAAAGCAAATGAAACAAATATTTGTTGTTGGGGTTGGAAAATTAACTAAAAAAAAAAGGTTTCAAAAGGGAAATGTTTGTATTTTCAAGGGGTTATTGCTCTAAAAAAAAACCAAGAGAAAAAAAATGAGGGAAAAAAGAAATGGTAATTTATCTTGCAATTGCAGCAGCGGGTTATATTGGTACGATTTTTGAAAGATATATGCGACGTGCCAAAAAGCAGGCAAACAAAACAGAAAATGTGTTAAGCAAACAGGGGGCCACAAGACAAGCGTTGAGAAAAATTTGGAAAAGCTGAAAATAAGAGGAAAAAAAGCTGAGGAAAAGCAACCTAAAAGCAACCGAATTCAACCTTAAACCACAAAAAGCATGAAAAGCCTGTAAATGAGCTGCGATTGATGTACTTTTTTTAAGGCTGTTTTTTTTTTCTTTTTTAATTTTTGTTTTTAATTGTTGTTGTGGTGGCAGCCGCAAAAGGAGGTCAATTTTACATGCCTCAAAAAATGGAAAGGATTTTCCACATTTTTCCCTTTTTAAATACGTTTTTTCACGTTTAATTTTCATCGTTTATTGTTTTTTTATTATTTAGTTCGATTGCTTCTCATTGTCAGACATTTTTTACAAGTGGATAATTAGTGATAGGATTATTGGTTGAAGTAGTCCTTAAACACTAAGAAAAATAAGACACAAAAATGGAATTTTAAAATATTTTACAATATATACATACATACTTAAAAAAAATATATTTTTATTTTTTTTTGTTAATTTTAAACAAGTTTTTTTTTTAAGAAATCATAAAAATCTATATTTGTTATATATGCATACAATAAATATAAGTTTCGAACCAAAACAAAAATGTTTTAATATTAAAGTTAAAATATAAATATAGACCTCCAATATAATACAACTTATATACAATTTTTTTAACACTTTTTGTGAAAAATATAAAGCTAAAGTTTTCTCAATAATTTATTTCCTAATTAAATATTTTATTTGTTGTTATATATAAACATACAATAATAAAAATATATCATATTTTTTAATACTTCCTCTCTTCAATAAACCCAAAAAGTTTTATTTTCTTTTAATTAAAATTCTTTGGCGCCATTCCGTATCTTTTTTTGTTGAATTTTTTTTTTAATTTGTAGTCGTCAAGCAATTTCTGTGACGTCACTAATGCGCACCGTGTACACGCCCTCGCATTTGTGTTGATTATATATCTGCCTCTCTATATACATCTATTTAGATGTGTTTTTTGTTTGTGTTTTATTATTATTAATTTATGCCATTTTTTGTTTGTCAACTTTTTTTTTTTTTTTGCGTACGGTTTCGTTTCGGCTTGTCTATTTCGATTTTCGCTTTTTCTCTGTTAATTTTTTTTCGGGTTCTTTTTGTTTTATTTTTGGCAGAACGTTCAAAATTCCGAGCCAAGTGGCTCGTGGGAGCCGCTAAGGAGCCCTCACCCGCTCTTCCCCCTCCAGTAGAATTTTCCTCGAATGTCCTACCAATTTTCTGTAGAATTTTTAAAGGCCTTTCAAAACAAAAAAAAAAAAAAAAAAAAAAACTTGGCCGTCGTTATGGCGTCCTTTTTTCTTACGTGGAATGCCCTTTTTTTCATTTTTTGTTTAAGTATTCTTGGAAACTCTGTTTTCCCAGTTGTCACTTAAATTCTACTCAAAATGTTTTAGAAAACCATTAAAGTTTCACAACACACAAAAAAAAATTTAAAATTTTTTACAAAAATGTTTATAAATTTATTTTAAAAATTCTATTTACAAAAAAAAAGGATTTCAAAATTTTAGTTTTGAACTCGTTTTGGTTTTTAATTTTTCGCACATTTTTGGCAAAAGCATCAAAGTGTTTTCGGTATTAGAACGATGTCAGAAAGGTTATGGTTAATTAAGTTTTTGGGTTTCTTGTTTATAAATTGTACATAAGCCTTAAAAAGTAATTAAAAATTAATTTAAAAAATATATATTAAGACTTTGCATGTTTTTAAATTATCATTTGCATTTATGGTTAGAAAATACTTGTGTTTGGTGATCAAGTTCAAGATAAGCTTCTCAACTCCTTACTTCTCTAGTTAGATTTTAAGATAGAGATTATAAATAAATTAAAGCTTATTTTTTAAAATTTTTTTTTACAGCCATGGCGAGGATCTCATTGTGACGCCTTTCGCCCAAATTTTAGCCAGCTTACGTTCAGTGCGCAACAATTTATTAAGTCTGACAAATGTTCCAGCATCAAACAAGTAAGTGTGTGGTGACCTTGACAAAGTCCATCACCCAACCAACCAACCACCCACCCACCTACCCACACCCTACCCCTCTCTGGCCCTGCCCTACGCCCCTAGAGATATTCAATTGAAAAAAAAATGATGTACTTGACCTCAAAAATAATAAAAGTGATATCTCAGTCAGTGTTTTAACTAAGAAACCCCCCCTCGTAACCCCACTTTAACCCCTAAGTGTTGCTGCTTGCTCTTTGCTCGCCTTAACCTCCCTGGCTCTTTCTGCCCCCCATATCTCTATCTCTGTCTCTATTTTCGTGCTCTTGGTGTGTGTTTTTGTCGCGTCTCTCACACTTTAATTAATCAAAAAAAATACCAACAAAAAAAATAATAATAATAAAAACAAGCGACAAACAAAATCATTTTCATCATCTCTCTAACAATAATACGAGTATTTTGAGGGTCTATGTCGAAAAAAATATAAAAATAGAAATAAAAGAATAGAACCCTTACCCTTACATAAAGGTTAAAGGTGCAAACTCATGGTACATTTCCCCACTTGACCCCCAATATTTCCAATGAAATGACGCAAAAAAAAACGTGCCAAAAATAACGCAAAAAAATACAAACACGAGTGCCAAAAAAAAAAAACAAACAAAAGCACAGGTCAATGATTTTTTTTTTTTTTTTTTTAGGGAAGACGGAATAATAATACTTTGTAACTAAAAATAAAACAAATATATTCAATTGTTTGTTTGAAAATATGTGATTAATCCTTAGTTTTAGATTTTCTTTGAAAAAAAAGAAAAAATTTGCATGTTAAATTAAAATACCAAAAAGTCCCTGAGAAAGCTTTGATTGTATTAACCCTTAACCCTCTGGCAGGCCCTTTGAAATGATGACCCTCCCTTAAGAAATACATTTTCTGTAAATAGTTAGGCCACTGTCTCCCCAATATCCCTCATTATAACAATAATAATTTACGACAAAAAAAAAATTATATATTTTATCTGTCTATTCTCTCTTTTCTGCTCTCTCCCCCCGCTCTGTTTCTGTCTTCTTCTAACACTCTGTATCCGTCTCGCTCTGTTAACTAATTTTTAAATATGTGTGTGTCTTGTGTTTGCAATGCAACTATAAAACTAAAAAAAAAAAATAATTGATCTTTTGAAAAAAATCACCAAAATCTAAATGTTGTGTCTTTTTTTTTTAATATTTCACCAAACCATGCTACGTCACCGAACAAACAAATAAAAAAAAAATGTATAAAAAACCACACCACACTCCATTTTTATAAAATCCTTCTCCTAACCCTGAAAAATAATAATAAATATATTTTTATTTATTTAAATTTGTTTTTATTTTATGCACTAATCATTTTCCATTTCCCATTTTTTTATTTGCTTCTTCCATGATGTTCCCCCTTAAATGTTTGTTTATTTTGTTTGATCGTTTGTTTGTTTGTTCCTATTAACTATCCCCTTCGCCCGCTGCCTTCTTCCACCCGCCACTCCCACCTCCTCTCTCTTATTCTCCACACCCCCCTCTCCCTCTATGTGTGTGTGCGTGTGTGTGTTTGGGAATATCGTGTATTAATCAAAAAAGATCCAGGCGGCCCACGCAATCCTCGACGGCTGCCCGCACGGCAAACCCACCTGGAGTACCCCTGTCCCAGGGGGAGGAGGCCTACACCCGGCTGGCGACCGACACCATTGAGGAACTGGACTGGTGCCTCGACCAGCTGGAGACGATCCAGACCCATCGCAGTGTCTCCGACATGGCCTCTCTTAAGGTGAGTTTATAATCAGGGTTTGAATATTAAAAAAATATCCTAGGATCCCTTGAAAATGGCGTTTTCCCCTATAGGGCCCACAGTGATGGGTATATCTTCCCCAATTCTTATCCGACTCTCAAGCGGAGTACCTTAAATGATTTCTAGATCAATTCTCTACCATTCTGCATCAAACTCCTGAGACAAAATATTTTTTAGATTTGTTGTCCATTTTTCGTGAGGGATCCCTTGAAAATGGGTTTTTTCCCTATAGGGCCCCCAGTGATGGCTTTATCTTCCCCAATTCTCATCCGATTCTCAAGCGGAGTACCTTAAACGATTTCTAGATGGATTCTCCACCATTCTGCATCAAAATCCTGAGACAAAATATTTTTTCGATTTTTTGTCCATTTTTCGTGAGGGATCCCTTGAAAATGGCGTTTTCCCCTATAGGGCCCACAGTGATGGGTATATCTTCCCCAATTCTCATCCGATTCTTAAGCGGAGTACCTTAAATGATTTCTTGATCGATTCTCCACCATTCTGCATCAAAATCCTGAGACAAAATATTTTTTAAATTTTTTGTCCACTTTTCGTGAGGGATCCCTTGAAAATGGGTTTTTTCCCTATAGGGCCCCCAGTGATGGCTTTATCTTCCCCAATTCTCATCCGATTCTCAAGCGGAGTACCTTAAACGATTTCTAGATGGATTCTCCCCCATTCTGCATCAAAATCCTGAGACAAAATATTTTTTAAATTTTTTGTCCATTTTTCGTGAGGGATCCCTTGAAAATGGGGTTTTTCCCAATAGGGCCCACAGTGATGGCTATAACTTCCCCAATTCTCATCCGATGCTCATGCGGAGTACCTTAAATGATTTTTAGATCGATTCTCCACCATTCTGCATCAAAATCCTGAGACAAAATATTTTTTAAATTTTTTGTCCACTTTTCGTGAGGGATCCCTTGAAAATGGCGTTTTCCCCTATAGGGCCCACAGTGATGGGTATATCTTCCCCAATTCTCATCCGATTCTTAAGCGGAGTACCTTAAATGATTTCTTGATCGATTCTCCACCATTCTGCATCAAAATCCTGAGACAAAATATTTTTTAGATTTGTTGTCCATTTTTCGTGAGGGATCCCTTGAAAATGGGTTTTTTCCCTATAGGGCCCCCAGTGATGGCTTTATCTTCCCCAATTCTCATCCGATTCTCAAGCGGAGTACCTTAAACGATTTCTAGATGGATTCTCCACCATTCTGCATCAAAATCCTGAGACAAAATATTTTTTAAATTTTTTGTCCATTTTTCGTGAGGGATCCCTTGAAAATGGGGTTTTTCCCAATAGGGCCCACAGTGATGGCTATAACTTCCCCAATTCTCATCCGATGCTCATGCGGAGTACCTTAAATGATTTTTAGATCGATTCTCCACCATTCTGCATCAAAATCCTGAGACAAAATATTTTTTAAATTTTTTGTCCACTTTTCGTGAGGGATCCCTTGAAAATGGCGTTTTCCCCTATAGGGCCCACAGTGATGGGTATATCTTCCCCAATTCTCATCCGATTCTTAAGCGGAGTACCTTAAATGATTTCTTGATCGATTCTCCACCATTCTGCATCAAAATCCTGAGACAAAATATTTTTTAGATTTGTTGTCCATTTTTCGTGAGGGATCCCTTGAAAATGGCGTTTTCCCCTATAGGCCCCACAGTGATGGCTATATCTTCCCCAATTCTCATCCGATTCTTAAGCGGAGTACCTTAAATGATTTCTAGATCGATTCTCCACCATTCTGCATCAAAATCCTGAGACAAAATATTTTTTAGATTTGTTGTCCATTTTTCGTGAGGGATCCCTTGAAAATGGGTTTTTTCCCTATAGGGCCCCCAGTGATGGCTTTATCTTCCCCAATTCTCATCCGATTCTCAAGCGGAGTACCTTAAACGATTTCTAGATGGATTCTCCACCATTCTGCATCAAAATCCTGAGACAAAATATTTTTTAAATTTTTTGTCCATTTTTCGTGAGGGATCCCTTGAAAATGGGGTTTTTCCCTATAGGGCCCACAGTGATGGCTATAACTTCCCCAATTCTCATCCGATGCTCAAGCGGAGTACCTTAAATGATTTTTAGATCGATTCTCCACCATTCTGCATCAAAATCCTGAGACAAAATATTTTTTAAATTTTTTGTCCACTTTTCGTGAGGGATCCCTTGAAAATGGCGTTTTCCCCTATAGGGCCCACAGTGATGGGTATATCTTCCCCAATTCTCATCCGATTCTTAAGCGGAGTACCTTAAATGATTTCTTGATCGATTCTCCACCATTCTGCATCAAAATCCTGAGACAAAATATTTTTTAGATTTGTTGTCCATTTTTCGTGAGGGATCCCTTGAAAATGGCGTTTTCCCCTATAGGCCCCACAGTGATGGCTATATCTTCCCCAATTCTCATCCGATGCTCAAGCGGAGTACCTTAAATGATTTCTTGATCGATTCTCCACCATTCTGCATCAAAATCCTGAGACAAAATATTTTTTAGATTTGTTGTCCATTTTTCGTGAGGGATCCCTTGAAAATGGCGTTTTCCCCTATAGGCCCCACAGCGACGGCCATAACTTCCCCAATTCTCATCCGATTCTCAAGCGGAGTACCTTAAACGATTTCTAGATCGATTCTCCACCATTCTGCATCAAAATCCTGAGACAAAATATTTTTCAGATTTTCTGTCCATTTTTTCTGATAGGATACCTTGAAAATGGGGTTTTCCCCTATAGGGCCCACAGTGATGGCTATAACTTCCCCAATTCTTCAATTCAATTTAAGCGGAGTACCTTAAACGATTTGTGGATCGATTTGTGAATCCTAAGACAAAATATTTTCCATTTTTAATCAACTATTTATTTTTCTCCTTTCAGTTCAAACGGATGCTCAACAAGGAGCTTTCACACTTCAGCGAGTCCAGCAGATCGGGAAATCAGATTTCCGAATATATATGTTCCACATTTTTGGGTGAGTTGAAAAATATATACATACAAATATTTAAAAAAGAAATCAATAGGCCATCTAATTGTTAAGCTTTACTCTTATTCAGAAAACCAATACCAGTTTAAATCACAATCTCTTTATCGATTCATCTAATGATGGCAATTTTATTTTCCATTTCGATTGCGGGAAGAACAAAAAAAACTAAATGAAAAACTAGATGAAGATGGAAAACTTTTTGCAAAACAATTGCACAACAATCCAAAAGCCCCGACACTCGAATCATTTCTGCTTCACCTCGGATGCTGGGATTTTGCAATCTGGGTGAATTTATTTCACCCTCATTTTGCCAATGCCAGTCAGTGTGTTCTCCATTCCGCCTCATCATCAATGGCAGAAACTATGACTATCAATGGGTTAAGCCTTCTCTACGTTTCATCCTCCTCCTCTCTATACATTTTTTTAACCCTCGAAAGTTATTCAAGAAGTTTTGTGGCTTCAACTTTCGCTGACTGACTGGCTGGCTGGCTGGCTGACTAGCGAGCTGCAATTTGTTTCCAGGCATTGCCATTCTGCCATTTGTTCTTGTATTTGTTGTACTTTTTGTAGCTGGCTCACCAAAGTATGCAATAAAATCGCATTAACCACAATGGCGGTGGAAAATCGAAGAGGAGGAGGGCCAACGAAGGTTAAAGGAAAGTTCAAGTAGCTGAAGCCACCAACCCAAAACCCAAACCCAAGCCCAGACCAAACCATCCATCCGTCTCCATATCCAATGCCAACAAATTAGGGCAAAAAGCGCTAGCAAAAGTTATGCAAATCAAGGAGAGGAATCAGCAAAAAAAATGTATAGATATTTATTTTTTAGAAATCAAGTCGAAAAAGTAATACTCTAACAATATTTTTAAAATAATGCTTATTGTATTTTAAATTAAATGGGGTTTACAACTATCTCTTTCTCTTAAATCTTCTTTATTCTTCCCCATTTTAGTGAATTTTCTTTCCTTTTTTTCGACGAATTGAAAGTGCAAAATTAAATTATGCAGAGCAGCATAAAAACAGATGAAGTGGAAATTTCATTGTTTAACCTGCGAACCAAGCCCCCGGGCGAAGACCTCTATCCGCCCACTTTTGCGCATTTCTTCCTTTTCCTTCCCCCACAACTCACCCCTTCTTCTTCTTTTCAATTGCCATCACCCACACGCCCCTGTCCATTAGCATTTTCAGTCAAAAACCCAACCACCCATTCCAGCCCAGCCCAGCCCAGTCCTCTTAACGCTTTTGTGTCCAAAGCCAAAGCCACTTTTGTGTCACTTTTCTGTGGGAATGGGTGACTGTTTTTTTTTTATTCAAACAGAGTTGTTTGTTTTTCTACTTTGTAGCTGACCGATAATTCCGATGTATTGATTGAATCCAATCGCTGTTATCGTAATTATCGAAATGGAAAAACAGGAAAACTAGAAAAAAGAAAAACAAGGGTTGCCTTGGCCATATTTTTGAACGAAAGTGGTATTATTATTACTATTAATACTTTATGAAACTATAGAATATTAAATATTATTACTGTTTATTTTTTTTCTTTGCTAAATTTATATTTTATCGATAGTTATTCGATAACTTAAAAATTTCTCAATGCAATTCTACTCTTTTTTTTTCATCTCTATTGAAAAGTGGGCTTCTAAACTGGTGGGCGTGGTAGGGCAAACAAAGGTGCCGCACCTAAGGCCAAAGCCTCCAAAAGAGTTGTAAAAGCAAAAAAAAAAATTGACTAAAAAAAAAAAAGGAAAATTCCGGGGATAAAAGTAGAGAAAAGTAGGGAGACATTGGAAAAGGCTGAAACTGCCGACGGGCGGGTATAGGGCATATTTGCACATTTGTTCATATTTCTGCTTCACTGAGCACATAGAGCAGCGGGCGGGGGGTGAATAGGGGGGTTTTTTGGCTAAAACCAAAGGCGTAGGCCGAAAGTAAAACAAAGGGGCTTATAGTTTTTTTTTTTTGCTGCGCCATGTTTTGTGCGTGATGTTTCTTTTTTAATAATATTTTTAGGATAAAATGTCGTTTTTTTATTAAAATATATTTTTAAGCTTCTTGTAATTTTTAATTTAATTTTTTTCATAAAAGGGGCTTTAGTTTCCTTAAATTTCTAGGAAATTATTGGTTATTCTTTACAAAATTTAACCCACTTTAAGTTTCATTTATAATTGTGTTATTATTTAATTATAAATATTATTCTTTTTTTTTTATTATAAATATTTTAAATGGTAAATTAAATTATTTTAAAAAGGCTATCACCTTCCCCTAGCTGTGGAAATACGACCTCCCTGGGTAACCTCCACTGGTCACCTTTTTCCCTTGAATTTTCAGGCCTAACCCAACTAGCTTGCTGTTGCTGTAGTTTATCAAGCATAAAATCGCATTTGGGGTATATCCCTCGCACAAACTCAGACACACACACACACACGGGTGCCTAATGTCCATTTGTAACACTTCATTTGAAACAGAAGCCTCGACCTCCAAAGTCACAAAAAAATGAAGAAAAAAATAAAATAATGGTTGGGGGAGAGACAACAAAAAAAAAAAAACAAGATTTCAGCCAATGTCCTCTGCATTTGGAGAAGCAAAAAAAAGAATCTGAATCTCAGCCCGTAGCCAGAGAAATTGGCGGAGAAAGTAGAAAGGTGGGGATGGGAGGCTTGCCAACATATGCAAAACAAGATGCTGCCGCACACATCAGGTGAATACATTTCCTTTCCCAATATATTCTCCATTTTTTATGCTTGGAATTTTTTTTTGTTTTCTTGCTAACAAAGTGTGAGAAAAGTCTTGGAAAAGAAAAGTGTGGAAAATGCTGAAACAATTTCAGAGAAAATTTATGCGTTGTCGAGCTGATAGAGTTGGCAGAAGGAAACTTGCCAAAAGAAGGAGCCTTAAAAAGGGCACAAATCTTTAAGGTTAAAAAAAAATCCTTTAAAGATGTGATTTAGATTATAATTTGATGAGAATTCCCTTTTGAAATGACAAATCGAGCAATTAGTAAACCAATTCTCATCACAAAGCACAACTCAAATGCTCCTCAAAACATAAATATTACTTGAATTTTAAATGCATTTCATATATGCACTTATTATGGATGGGCTGTTGGAAACTCGCATGTTATTTATGTTTCATGTGTTAGTTTTATAGTTTTAGTTTTGTACCGGGCAACCAGAAAATTCAACGCAATTTGGAATTTGAAATGAATATTAATTTATGCACAGGCAATTTGAATTTGCTCTCGTGTTCCCATTTTTTGAAAAACAAAAACAAACGGCAGCAAACCAAACAATTGCCATGGGTGGGTGGGGTGGATCGGTCTGGAGGCTGGGTAGCCAAAAAGTAGGCAATGGAATTTTTGAATGGAAATGGATGGAGGCAAAAACTGCAAAAGTTTTGCTTGTTTGCCGCTTGCCATTGCCGTGAACGCTTGAATATTTATATGGCTGTTTAAGCACCAAAATAAGAAGGCAGGCAGGCAGGTTCTCCTGCCGAGCACCGAGTTGTGAGTTGAAGGACTTTGGTGTCGCTGGTCTATATCTACATTTAAATTTAAATTTGCATCCTTGCTGGCTTTGTCGTTTTCCGCTTTTTTGAATTTTATACTCAAATTCTATAGTTTTTTTTCTGTCTTTTGTGGTCTGTTGTCAGTCGGTCTGAAGTAGAAATATTCGTAAATCCAAGATGAGCACTAGAACAAAATTAAGAGATTTGAAATCTTTAAATTTGGTGCCTAAAAGTATGCAAAAATACATTAAGACAATGGTTTTATTTTAAAGAAATGCCTAAAAGTGGGCAATGAAGTAAACAAAATTATGTAGCATCTCAGCATCTCAAAAACAAATTGAATTAAGATACTTATTAAATTATTTGTAATTTTAAACTAAAAATATATTTATTTCGAATATTTTTTTTTTAGACAAACAACAAGAATTCGACCTGCCATCACTGCGTGTCGATGAAAATCCGGAACATGCCGCCGCCACCGCTGCCGGTGGCACTGGCGGACAGCATCCCGCCGGAGGGTCAGCCGCCAATCGCAGTCGCTCCCCACGCGGGCCGCCCATGTCGCAGATCAGCGGCGTGAAGCGACCCCTCTCGCACACCAACAGCTTCACCGGCGAACGTCTGCCCACTTTCGGTGTGGAGACGCCCAAAGAGAACGAGCTGGGCACCCTGCTCGGCGAGCTCGATACGTGGGGCATTCAGATATTTAGCATCGGCGAGTTCAGTGTCAACCGGCCGCTCACCTGTGTGGCATACACCATTTTTCAGGCAAGTTATCATTAATAATAAATAGCTTCTTTAATATTAATAAATTTCTTTTAAAAAATTACAGAGTAGAGAATTACTGACCAGTCTTATGATACCACCGAAAACTTTTCTTAACTTTATGACTACTCTGGAGGACCACTACGTCAAAGACAATCCGTTTCACAATTCGCTTCATGCCGCCGACGTGACACAGAGCACCAATGTGCTACTAAATACACCGGCACTGGAGGGCGTTTTCACACCGCTCGAGGTGGGCGGGGCACTGTTCGCCGCTTGTATACACGATGTTGATCATCCCGGTTTAACCAATCAATTTTTGGTTAATTCAAGTATGCTTTAAATATTTAAAATATCATAAAATAAAAATAATTAATTGAAAAAAATTTAATTTAAAATTAGGTTCCGAACTAGCATTAATGTACAATGACGAATCTGTTTTGGAAAATCATCATTTAGCTGTTGCCTTTAAATTATTGCAAAATCAAGGATGTGATATATTCTGTAATATGCAAAAGTATGTTATTTTTCATTATATGATTGGGAATATATACATATATATATAACTAATAATTATTATTTAATTTAAGGAAACAACGCCAAACTTTGAGGAAAATGGTTATTGATATTGTGCTGTCCACGGACATGTCCAAACACATGAGTCTGCTGGCCGACCTGAAGACAATGGTGGAAACCAAAAAGGTGGCCGGATCTGGAGTCCTGCTGCTGGACAACTACACCGATCGCATACAGGTAAGTGAGAGATATATCTAGGAATTATAAAGGCCTTTCATTCTTAACTATCTCTTCTAGGTGCTTGAAAATCTGGTGCATTGCGCCGATCTGAGTAATCCCACCAAGCCGTTGCCGCTCTACAAACGTTGGGTGGCCCTCCTAATGGAGGAGTTCTTCCTGCAGGGCGACAAGGAACGCGAATCGGGCATGGACATTAGCCCGATGTGTGACCGACATAATGCCACCATCGAGAAGTCGCAGGTGGGCTTCATTGACTATATCGTCCACCCATTGTGGGAGACCTGGGCCGATCTTGTCCATCCGGATGCCCAGGATATACTCGACACGCTTGAAGAGAACAGAGACTACTACCAGAGCATGATACCCCCATCGCCGCCGCCATCGGGTGTTGATGAGAATCCCCAAGAGGATAGGATACGCTTTCAGGTAATAAATTATTTAATTTTTTTGATTAAAAAAATATATAAATATTTATTTTTGTATATAATTCGTATAGGTAACCCTGGAGGAGTCCGACCAGGAGAACCTCGCCGAGCTGGAGGAGGGCGATGAGAGTGTCGCCGATGCTGCATCGAGCACTACCACCGGCACCACAGCCACCTCGGCGCTGGGGGGCGGCGCTGCTGGCGGCAATAAGACGGGTGGCAGCCAAAACCAGCACCAGCACGGTGGAATGTGACGGAGAGTCGTGGGAATTTATCGCAAATTACAGGAAAAGGCACACAACTTTTTCCTATTACGTTAGTGACTACTATTAACACACCACATCGCATCACAGTCCACCCACCCATACATCACAACAACAAACAAACACAAAAAAAGAAGAAAAAAAACCAAAACCAAAAAAAAAACTAAAAAAAAAACAAGGAAAAACTCTTCGAAAAAAATGACAAAAAAAAAACCAAAACCAAAAACTAAGAAAATATTAAAAACAAAACAAAAATGTTTAAAAAGCATACAAACTCCAAACAGCAATAGCGAAAGTACCGTTTAACTTACAAAGCATAGAAAAAAGCATAAAAAACGCAAACAAGCAAACAAAAAAAAAAATGGGGAATTTAGAAATCTACTTAATGGAAAATATGAGATTGATGTTGAATACACTTAAACAAAAAAAGCAAAGCAAAAAGCAAACAGCAGAATACAGATAGAGAAGAAGAAGCAGATGCTAAGGTAATTCTTTCAAATATTCTTACAATTTGATGAAAAAAGAAAAAAAAAGTCTAAAAACTAGAAAGAATACTAAGGAATCCCCCCATAATCTAGAAAAAAATGACGATTTTTGTTGCAACTTTGTAGGAAAATGATTTTATTTTATTCTTTTTTTTTTGTTTTAAAAGAGAAATCTTCAGTTAACTTTGCACAAAATAAGAAATAAAATAAATTTTAAAATATTGACAAAAAAAAAACTGAAAGGAAGTGTAGAAGAAAAAGGAAAACAATACAACATATTTTTTGTTAGACTAAGAGAAGAGTTTTTAAGTTTTAATATTCTGCTAACTTGATATGTTTTGATTTAAAATTTTATTACTCGTTATTGAACACATCACATATTGAATTTTTTATGATTTAGACAAAGTTTAAGAAAAACTGTTGTATAATTTAAGAAACCCAGTGAATTAAAAACAACAAGTAAATCAAGTTGAAAAGTTGAGAAAACCAAACCAAAATGGAAATCAGAACACCCGCCCTAACCCCCATTAGCAGTCTACAGCCAGACTGTAGTTGTATAGTACTAAAAGTATATAAAAAAAACATTTTTTTTTTAATATTATTTGTAAATAATTTAAATGTTGGACTCGAATTTAAATCAAGCAGCTATAAAAATTAGCTGCAGCTAAACAAGAAACTAAAACAAAGCCAAAAAAACAGGAGAATAAGAGAGAAATTAGAGAAAATTAAGAAACGGAAGGAAGGAAGGAGGTAATTTTGTAAAATTAAATGAAAAAATGAAAAGTTTCCATTTCAAGTTCGATTTCGATTTGAATTGCAATTTGATTTGCTTCCAATGAAAAAGTTAAAAAATAAATAAAAAGAAGAAATTTAAGAAAAGGATAAAATTAATAAAAAAACGCTGTCTTCGCAAATATTTTTCGCTATACATATTACTTATATCATTATTTACCTAGTGACTAAGCTGAACAAAAACTAAAAACTAAAACTAAAAGCAAAACATGCAAAAGCAAATACAAAAGCAAAAAAACGAAATGAGACAAGATACAAGACACAGACAAGAAAGAGATAGAGCATATATATATATATCAAATATATGAAGAATTTAGTGAAAAACTTTTTACTTGCAACAACAAACAACACACAATTTACAAAAACAAACAAAAAGACTCTTCAAAAAATAAAAACAAACAAAAGCACAAGCAATTTTTAGTTTTCCAAAGCAAAAAAACCAAAACCAAAAACCAAAAAAAAACTAAAAGTGAAAGGCAAACACACACAAATAAGTTTAAAACAAAACGAAAAAGTCATTGGCTATATAATACAAATTATTTATACCTTAACTAAAAAAAACCGATCCGATACATAACTATATGTATTTGTTATATATGTATAGGGATGTATGGGAAAATATATATATGTATATGCATATGAAAAGTCAAGATCCTGACGCTGGTGCGTGGATCAACAAAATATATATTTCAAAAGTGGCAGGCCAAATTCTAAAAGCGCATAAATATATATACATATATGCCTATATCTATTTTTTATTATTATTATGTTTTAATTGTTATTAATTTATTGTGCCCTAATTATGTTTATTCACCGTTTTTTTCACACACACCCCCCACCCCACACACAGAACTTAGTGCTATATATATATTTCATTTTTGTGTTTTGAGCGGGCAGGATCCGCGCCTAAAATAGTTATCTATTATTATCTATTATCTATTATGTTTTTTTTTTTTAATTAAAACTATAACTATTACATAAAAATGTGAGTGAAGAAGATGTATTGAAATGAAAAGAGAAATATGGAACCTTGATGGTCTAAAAATATCATTAAACACTAAAGGCACTGCATGTCCTCGAAGGCATCGCAGAAAAGTTATATTTGTTGAAGACGAAAAAAAAAGTTGAAGTTTAAAAACAAATAAGAAAGAAGGAAAAACTAAGAATTAATATAAAAAAAAACAAGATACTTTATAGCAATTTAAGCAGCATTGTAAATGTGCGCTTCAGATTTACATTTTTTTTTTGTCAAAAAACTTAATCAACCTTCAGCAAAAATACAAGAGATATATATACATACAAAAACATATATATATTAATAAATAAATAATTAATTATACCAATAGTTGCGACAACAACAAAAAAAACGACGGCAAGTCCATGGCAAACTTAAATAAAAAATAAACAAAAACAAAGCTACTTTAACAAATTGAGTGAAATAAATGAAAACAAAAAAAAAAACCAAAAAATAAATGACTTTTTTTCTGCTCTTAAATACAAAAAGTAAAAGTAAAAAGTAAATATTGTATTTGTAACAAGAATTTCCCTTGTGAGTGATGTGTTTTTAGAACCATAGAACCGGAATGAAGCACACTGAAAGAAAAAAATGGAAAGTAAACGAGTTTATAGAGAGAGTTTCCGATATACAGATAACTGGTACATGTCTATAGCTATATACGATTATGTAACTTACCAGAGTATTAACCGCAAAACCAAAACATATATACATTTATATGCATACTCGTACTCGTACATATAATATATATATATATAGAGGATATATCTAGAGGTACACACAAACACATAAAAATATACATTTGATGTATAATCGAGTTGAAACTTAACCTAACCTGTTGTACGTGTATTCTCTCAGTGTGTGTATATGTAATTTGATGAATTTAAAGTCAAGTAGAATCCGCATTCATCCAAAGATCATTTTCGAAACAAAAAGATCATAAGAACAAGCAATTTATAGTTAAATCGAAAAGTATCTAAATGTAATTGTTAGACAAAAAAAAAACCATAAAATATGCCAAGCAAATAAAAAGGATTCAGAACAAGGCATCTCTCTAAAACCATCTCTCTCTCTCTATATACTATCCCTGTCTCTATCTTACAATCTATCTATCTCTATCTATCACCATTAGCTAAACTCAATTTTGACTGAAATTGGCAGAAAAAAAGAGGAAAAATATTTAGTAGTTGTATCTGAGAGGCACCTAGGATTTTCTGAAAAGTCTGTCTGATTTTTTTCCAGTCCCTTCCCCCGAAAGTGTGCCGCAAATTATATCAGTGTATATATCTATTTAATAAATAAAACTAAAAAATATATATATTTAAAGGCATATGCACACAGAAAAACACCTAGAGTTATGTAGCGTCTATGTATTAGCTCCGGTCATGTGTCATCAAGGATAATACCCACTTAACTAGAGAGATATATATACATACATATACAAAAATTGAAAAAAGAAACTAAATTTATATAGGTAACGAGGGGGGAGAGCATCAGCATTTGTAGCACAGGTTGGCCAAATTTTTTGGGGAATTACGAGTTCTACATGAGAAACCAAAAATGAAAACTGTTTGTTGTGCTGTTTAGCCGTAAATCCAAAAACTTTTTTTTGAGATAACCTAAATAATAATATACATGAAAAAAAATAAAATATATATATATATTATACATACATAAATGTATCTAACTATATATATATATATTGAAAAAAAAAGCAGGAAACCGAATACACTTTGAGAGAAGAATGAAAGTATAACTAAAAAAAAAACGATTGAAAGGCAAAGTTTTGTACTATAAAAGGAAATGAAAAACACCAAAGACAAAAAAGAATAAAAAAATACAAAACATATACAAAGGATATACTATAAAATACTAAAAAAAAAACAAATAAACAAAAAATACGCGCTGGCGACGGTTGTTAAAAACAAAAGAAAAAGGATATGCCAATTGAGATGCCGAAGGATTACTGGATAATGGAGATACAATTCTACCAATTTCGGCATTTCAATCGTGTTGGTGGAGAATCGGAGATATTATATATACATATATAAATCACGTAACGCTGGCGTTACTGGGCAAAAAAGAAAATAAACAAAAAACAAAAACAGTTAGGCATTTTTTTTTTTGTTTTTTGGAAATTTATACAATTACATTTACAACAAAAAGGCTCACAAAAAAAAAACAAACAAACATCAGACACACTTACACTTACACCCACAAAACACACACAGGGAAAGCAATTTGCCAGGGCAATTGGAGCTTACGAATATTGTATATTCAAAATTCGTAATCCCCCACAAAAAAACCAAAAACAATGCCAGTTGAAAATGGATCGGTTAACGAGTATCTAAAAATCGGGAAATTACTTACCACTGAACTAGATCAGGCGTACTATATAAAGTACATACTACTGATATATATATATATATATATTAATATATATATATGTGACATAAATATATAATCCGTGATTAAAAAACGGATCGGAGCTGGCTTATGTTAATTGTTATTAATATTATTGTTTTGTTTTATTTACTTTCGTTTCGTTTCGCCTCTCTCAGAATACCATATACATAAATATGTATATTCTATGTATATATATATGTAGTTATGTATGTGAAAAGCGTAATCATTTATGAAATTAATAATAAAAAAATGAAAAAAACTGAAAAATCTACCCTGAAAGCAAAAAAAGAAAAAAAGTCAAATACATCAATAAATTGCATGCCGTAAGAAATATAAATAAAAATCCAAGAAAAAAAGTCACTCAGTTTGGCATTAAAAAAAAAAACAGTAAAGAAAATATATGATATGAAAATGATAAAGATCGGTATGAAGAAGAAGTAATGAAAAACTGAATAAAGATATGTGAATGAAAAAAGCAAGAGGAAATT